TCTCTCTCTGTCTTTCTGGCGAGTGCATGTGCCCTATAGCAAAAAAACTCTCCAAAAAAAAAAAAAATTAAAAATTAAATAAATAATAATTATAAAAAAAAAATTCAGATTTAGGGGCCAGGCCAGGTGGCATGATGGTTAAGGTGGCTGGATCCCAGCCAACTGCGACTACACAGTTCGACTTCTGAACCTGGCAGCTTAGAAAAACACACCAGGCACATGTGCATGCAAGCCCACATTCTTGAAAGAAAAGAAAAGAAGGGATGGCTATCCCCCCTGGAGGGTGCTTTCTCGTTCTGCCTCTCTTTTTTTCCCTCTTTGGTTTCTCTCCAGCAAGTACAAGCTCCCTATAACAAACTAAAAAAATAAAAATAAAAATAAAATAAATCCAATTTAGTACAGTCTCCTCTAACAGGTTATTCCACGGTGCTTCATCCCTAGTTTGGACCCTACGGTTAGCAGCCTGTCAGCTGTGCACTTGAATAACTTCATGATACTCACTTGTAAGAATTTGATACCACACAGAGGCGAGGCCTGGACACTGCAGAGCGGGGAGCTACACGTCCCACTCCATCACTGTCCCAGGGCAGAGGCTGACGCTGGCGGTGTCGGAGCCGAGGGAGGTTCCGGGGACACACACCCTCCACTCTTCCCAGCTCTGGGCTCCGACAAAGATTCTGTCCACGACTTTTGTACCCAGGGCCCGGCCTGACCCACCTCCAGGTAAATATCCTTGACACATCCACAGCATCTGTCTGAGGGTGACTGACCAGCCACGAGCCCTTTGGACCGGCTCTGTGTCCCCTGGGGCTGTGTTGTAAGAGTCTGGGGTGTGTCTGGGAGCGTGTGTGCATGAAAGGAGCAAGGTGTTATTTTTAGCTTTCCCCCACCTTTCCCCACAATTTTATTCTTAAAAATTTCGGTCTTGGGACCAGCAGTTAGCGTAAATGGCTATGTCGCTGAACTCCCATGTAGTCGACTGTGATTCAAGTCCTGGACCTGGTGACTTAAACTCACGCTGGGCGCGTGTGCGTGCGTGCCCAAGATCCCAAGAGGAGAATGGAGGAGAAGGGATTGCGGCGTGGCCATCCCCCCTGGTGGGGGGGTGATTTCTTGCTTTCTGTCTCTGTCTCTCTCTCTCTCTGGCGAGTGCACGCACCCTATAGCAAAAACCTCTCCAAAAAAGAAAAATTTGGTCCTTTGAGTAGTGGATGCCAGAAGGCCGCTATTGGCCTTCATTAGAGGCAGTTGGCAGCCTCCACCAGTAAGAACTGGGAGTGAACCTAAAAAGAAAGTAGGTGTTTAAATAAGATGGACAAGAGTTTGTTCAGGTAATCAAGATGCTGGGAAATGGACCATTAGAAGCAATGTGTCGGGGCTGGCAGGTGGTGTGGTGGTTAAGGGCTCTGGACTCCCATATGGCTGACTACGGTTCGAGTCTTGGACCTGGTGGCTACTTTCTCGCCTTTTCTCTCTCTCGCTCTCGCTCTCACTCTGTTCCTCTCTGGTAAAATATGTCCAATTAATAAGAAATAAATAAAGTTAAATAACATAGTTGTTTAAAAAAAATAGAAGCAATATGTCTTGATGGTATAAAGAAGTTACGTTGTGCTATGTCAAGGTGGCATGGTGGTAAATCCTATAGAGCTGACTCCATGGTTTAAGTCCTGTACCAGGAAGTTCCAAAATCATGCCAGGCATATGTGTATGCATGCCAGAAATCCTAACAGGAAACAGAAGGAAAAGGGATTATTGAATGGCCATCCCCACAGGGGGGATTCCCACCTCTCCTCTGTTTCTGAGTCTCACCACTGAGCATACACACCCAATGGTAAAAACTTAAAAAAAAAAATGAAGTTATGTCATATCAGAGAAAGACTGAGAAACATTTTGGATAAATACCTCAGACATTCTAATGGCTGGTCTGGGAGACTATAGCAGATGTAATTTTTTAAAACTAATTTCGATTTTTTTTTAAAGAGTTATTTATTTATTGAATTCCATTTGTTATTGTTATTTTTTCATTTGACCAGAGAGAGAAAGGGAAAGTGAGAAAGCAAGCCGCCCAGTCCGGGACTCGAACCACGGTCAGCCATGTGAGAATCCAGCGCCTTTACCCACCACGCCAAACAGTTGTGATTTTAAAATACAATGTAGAAGAGGCTAGAAATTAGAAGGCATATGGCAAGCTTCCAGAGCATGCTAAAATCAACCAGACAGATACACCTGGTCCTGGAGATGATGAAATCCAGTTTGATGACTCTGGGGATGATAATGAAGACACTAAGGATATTTAAGACTGAACTCAATGTTTCATATTCCAGATTTTCTGAGGATTGTTTTACATTTGGAATTTCGGTTATCACCTGTTAAGAAGACTTTATTTGGTGTGAGGATATTTTGTTTAAAAATATTTATTGGATTTCTTTAAAAGCTGATGATGTCGAATCATCTTAAGTGAAATGCTAATAATGTATTATTTTGATGTAGAACTTTGATGTAAAAGACCACAATATCTGCAGTTAAAAGAAAGAAAAATGGGGGCCAGGAAGTGGCATAGAGGTTAAGGTGCTGGACTCCCACGTGGTCAACTGTGGTTCAAGTCCAGGACCCAGCACTTTGAACTCATTCTGAGCACATGTGTGTACATGCCCCAAATCCCAAGAGAACGGAGGAGAAGGGATTGTGGCACGACCATCCCCCTAGGGGGCGGTTTCTCACTTTCTCCCTATGTCTCTGACAAGCACATGTGCCCTATAACAAAAAAATCTCTCTTTAAAAAAAGAAAAACCTCTCTTACTGAGACTACTTCACTTAAATGGATGTTATGAATAAACTGTTTGCCTTATAATCAGCATGGATTAAATTCCAACTATCTGTTTACTCTACAGAATCTTTTTGCGTTCAGTTACTTAGATGTGCTCTTGAAATTTTATTAAAAAATTACAGAAAGGCAGAAATTGGCATTTGAATACAGAAAAATATAAGGCTTTTTTTTTTTTCATATTTATGTAGCTTTTGTTTTGTTTTTAGTTTCCTGTGAGGCACTTATACTCACCAGAGATAACAAGAGAGGGAAAGTAAGAAATCCTCCCGGGGGGATGGCCACATGGCAATCCCTTCTCCATTCTCCTCTCGGGATTTTGGACATACACACACACAGGCTCAGCATGTGATTTTCAAACCCCAAGTTCAGGACTCCAGCTGCATGGTTGGCCATGGGGAATCCAGCTGCCTTAATTAACCTCTACACCACCTGTTGGCCCACTATATGTATTTTTTTTTTTAAGAATGATTTTTGCTATAGAGTGCAAGCGCTCACTGAAGAAACATAGAGAGACAAAGAGATAGAAAGCGAGAAATCACCCCCGGAGGGACGGCCACACAGCAATCCCTTATGCTCCTTTCTCCTCTCAGAACTTTGGGCACACACGCACATGTGCCTAGCGTGAGTTTTAAGTCATTGGGTCCAGGGCTCAAACCACGGTTGACTATGTGGGAGTCCAGAGATGTAACCATTTCACTATCGCTGGTCCTGACTACATGTATTTTTATATAGACTTGTTATACATTCTTTTAATCATTTTCTATTATCACCATCCTTTAAAATAGTTTTTATGCATTGGAGTTTTTAGAACATGAGTTTGATTAGCAATTTTTTTAAACAACTATTTTATTTGACTTTATCCATTTATTTAACTTGACCAGAGAGGGTCAGAGTGAGAGAGAGCGAGAGCAAGAGGGGGGGGAGTGAGAAAGCAAGCTGCCAGGTCCAGGATTCAAACCACGGTTTTGGGCACGCATGCAGGCACTCCCACATGGGAGTTCAGTGCTCTTAACCACTACACCACCTGCAGACCCCTTGAGTAGCAATTTAAAATTTGTAAAATTAGTAGTTGCAGAAATTTAACACTAGGTGATAACCAATTATCTTTTTGTTTGTTTGTTTTTTAGAGAGAGATTTTTGCTATAGGGCGCAAGTGCTCGCTGGAGAGACAGAGACTGAGAGTGAGAAATCACCCCCCGATGGGGCTGGCAACACCGCAATCCCTTCTCCTCCATTCTCCTCCCGCGATCTTGGGCACACACACACACACACATGTGCCCAGGGTGAGTTTTAAGATGCCAGGTCCAAGACTCAAACTGCAGCTTATATGTAGGAGTCCAGCGACATAACCGTTAATGCCATTTGCTGGTCCCAATAACTAATTATCTTAACACTGGAAATATCTACATATAAATTGACAGTGATTTTACTTTACATAGAAAATTACTTAATTTGACAGTAAGATACATGAGCAATTTACTTTATTTATTTTTTTGAGAGGTTTTGCTCTCTTAGGGCACATGTGATTGCCAGAAAGACAGAGACAAAGAGACAGAAAGCGAGGAATCAGCCCCGCCCCCAGGGGGATGGCCACGCCGTAATCCCTTCCCCTCCATTCTCCTCTCAGGATTTTGGGCACGCACACATGTCCAGCATGAGTTTAAGCCACTGGATCTGGGACTCGAACCGCGGTTGACTACATGGGAGTCCAGCGACAGCATTTATGCCAACTGCTGGTCCCTAGGAGCAATTTTTAATATCAAAATAGGGTTTTTTAAAAAAGAATCATTTATTTATTTAATTTCCTTTTTTTAAGAGGGTTTTTTTAAAAGAATTATTTATTTACTTTTATTCATTCATTTTATTTTAATTTGACCAGGGAGATACACAAAGAGAGAGTGAGAGAGAAAGAGGCAAAGTGAGAAAGCAAGCTACCAGGTCTAGGGCTCGAACCATGGTCAGCCATGTGAGAATGTCTAGCGCTTTAACCGCCACGCCACCTGCTGGTCCCTAAGAGGTTTTTTCCTATAGGGTGCTTGGGCTCGCCAGAGAGAGACAGAGAGACAGAAAGACAGAAAGCGAGAAATCACCTCCCAGGGGGATGGCCACACCTCAATCCTCTCTCCTCCATTCTCCTCTCGGGATCTTGGACATGCACGCACATGCGCCCAGCGTGAGTTTTAGCCACTGGGTCTGGGACTCAAACCGTGGTTGACGTAGGAGTCCGGCAACATAGCCATTACGGTGTGTGCTGGTCCCTATGAGCAATTTTTAATATCAAAATAGGTTTTGTTTTTTTTTTTAAGAATCATTTGTTCATTTAATTCCTTTTTTTTT